TTGGATACAACCCCGGAGAAGGTACGTTTTGAGCTTCTCTGGCAGCTTTTTCGATCTTTCTGGATGTAAATTACCAGGAGCCATTGCTGCTCACACCTGGATGTCAGACAGAGAAGTTTCTATTGTACAAATAAATGTGTAGAGTGGGCCCGTCTGTGGTTTCTTTTGTTTCCGAAAACGACGAAGCACTATCGTCCGGAGTGCATGCCAGATGCGGGCGCTATCTGTCCACATGTGCGCCCACAGCATGTTCAACCGTTGTGCCCTGAATTACGTGCCTGCGAAAGATTGCCGCTGCTGTAAAAAGTGTTTTGCAGGTGAAGAACAAATTGCTGGAACTGCTGCAGTGCTGGGCAATGGCATTCAAGAATAAGCCGGAGTATAAAATAGTGGTAGATACGCACAACTTGATGAAATTGGCTGGATTCGACTTTCCTCGTGTCGCTGAAGCAGACGCTATGTTCATCGCAGAAAGCGCCCCGGAGTGGGCCGATGGAGAGGAATGCTTCAGGCGCGTTTTTAAATACAGTTTTTGTCTCTCTACTGAAGAAATCATTTCAGGAAAACGAATTTTGATGTTTTTTTTTGAACTAAAAGCTTATTTCAGGTGTCGAACGGCTTTCGGGCTTATTACACGCAAACACCATTGTCGTGCATGCGGGCAGATATTTTGTGATAAATGCAGTAGCAAGCAAAGCTTTTTGCCTCAGTATGGCATCGAAAAGCCGGTAAATTTCTTCTTTTTCTTTTCTTATTGTCATTTTCCTCTGAAATTAGGTTCCATCCCTTTAAGCTATTTTCTAGGCGGTTCCATTCCCCTTACCGAATGCTTCTTCTGGCAGAACCTTTTCACTAAAACGTGGTGCTTTAAACAATGGGCAAATTCCAGATCACTTCTGGGATTGTGCTTTGAAAGTTAAAAATTTGTTTTACTTCTGGCTTTATTTTTAGAATGCATTCGGTTTCCTCGTCCTGCCTTCAAGAAAAAATGAGGGGGTAGTGTGCTGCACGTTGGGAGTTTTACGATTTTTCTCGCAATTAATGGGGTCAGCAAATCAAACAGCAGATCGGTTTGACGTGATGAATTGAGTAGCTCGATGAAAGAAGAGGTGGAGTGGAGTAATTGATGATCTTCCAGGTACGGGTTTGTGATGGGTGCTATGATAAGACACCAGCAAAGAAGTCCGGTGCAGGCAGCTCTTCGAATTCCACTCAGCCAACCAAAACAACTGATAAGCCGCTACCTGTAGATGCGAAGAAAACAGCTGAGCAACGGGCCCGCGAACTGAAGCAAGCGGAAGAAGACGAAATTAATCTGGCCATTGCTCTCAGTCAATCTGAAGCGGAGGCTCAGGTTTCTTCTTTTTTTCACGTTAAGTGCCTATGTTGGGCTCGAAATTTGTGCTGCATAGCATCACGCTCACCATGCTATCTCGCCTTTCATAATATACCAGATGACTCTCTATTCATGAGGCAGCGCCATTTTCCCTCGTTATTCCCTCTTATGGGGCTCTGTGACACATCGTTCATAAAGCAATGCCCCAGCTTGGATGTACAGTTTAGTC